TGATGTGGTGAGAGCTTCATCCCTGGCCGACGCCATTCGGTACGTCAAGGGCTTCTCCGTCCCCATCTTTGCTTCAAGGTGCCGGATCACCCTCGGCTCGGGCATGCCACCCTCTTCGGGCAGCCCTTTAAAGGCCCGAATGCACCCCTAGCTGACAGGTCTCCAGGTCGACCTGCCTTTCCACGCCTCATGCAGGTGCGCCCGGCAGATCTTATACCTGAGCCAATCGCCCCCTACTTTTTGTTGTGCTTTCTGAGGGATATCATTTCCCTGACCTTGCATGCGCCAGCCGATCTGCAATTTGTTTCGGGAGGTGCACTCCGTCAGGCACCCGGGCCTGAAAATGGTTCCCCAAGTTCGTGGCTGCTGTAACCCCACAGCCCGCGTCCCGTTTTGCTGTCATGCTCGCATGGAGGCGACCTCATTAGCAATAGGCTGTGCCATTGGGTGTTCTTGCCACACCTGTACCGTGCAGCGAAAGTGAGGCGCAACGAAGTCCTGTACCAAAAAAGTCCAGGCAGCTTCCGCTTCAGGCGTGTCCAAAGCAAGCAAAGACGCCAGGAGGCCAGGGCCGCATCCACTGCACCACACTTGGGTGGAGCCACTGGTGACAAGCATAGCTCGCGTGCGGTACCCATGAAGCCTGCTGGATTGGCAAGCCCACTCTACTCGATCGACAAAGCCTATATGACAAGGCAAGCACTCTTTTTGGTAATGGACATTCTCAGGCGTCTGACAGGGAGCTTCGGAGGAGCAAAAGCCAACAAGGAAACCTCGACAAGCTTGCAGCACAGCAAAAGCCGAGAGTCGCTGGACCCCCAGAGCGACTTAACACAGCCGCGGAAGCGCGCACTGCCACCACCCACAAAAGAGGTACGAGGCATGGCCCGAATGGGCCGGGCTGGGGTCACATCCACAGCCATGGCCCGCTGCAGGACCCCCAGTGCAGATTGACCTGGGCCCAGCAGAGGCAAACACAGCAATCTCGCGCTCGGCATTGTTGGGAAAGCGCCCCCGCTCTCGCAGCTCGACATTCTTCGGCTTTCCCAGTGCTTGAACTTTGCAAGGCACTCCGTGTGTGCATTGCGGAGGGCGCTGACCCAGCCTTCGGCCTTCCCCACATCCTCGACCCATAGCTGGGAGGCGCCGTTTTTGCTCGACACCAGTCGCGTGCAGCTCAAGGGACTGCTTGTCCAAGTCGCAGCTTCGCTCGCGCGCCGAGCGCCTCGCTCTGGCCCGGCGGTGCCAGCCGGGAGATCCTTTGAGGTGAAAAGGGACGCACTCGTGTGTGTGGGGCTCCGAGTGTTCCGCTCTCGGCGATCTCGAGCCCTACTGCTACTACTACTACTACTACTACTACTATTGCTACTACTACTACTACTACTACTACTACTGCTACTACTACTACTACTACTACTACTACTACTACTACTACTTGTAGTACTAGTACTACTACTCCTGCTGCTACTACTACGTCTACTACTATGACTGCTACTACGACTGCCAATGCTGCTACTGCTACTCCCACCCCTCCTACGACTACGACGACGACGACGACGACTACTACTACCACTACTATTTTCAATTGCACGCGGCACGAGCGGGCTCTGCGCTTAGCGGGCATATATCCGCACTTGCACTCACAAAGCTGTGAAACCGACCCTTGCGAGCAGTGATCCATCATGTTAACGACAGCGAACTGCGTCTGACTAGATTACAGCCTGAGAGCCTGTGGACCGATCCACGCCATGCTGCCCCGTGCCACCTTGGGCCAACGAGCACTTGAGGCTCCCTTCCCAT